TAACCCTGACAGACCTGAGCAGTGCTAGGGAGAAAAAGAAACAACAGAAATTCAGTGTGGTACCAGAGAAGCTATTGGATCATTTCTTTTGTTATTTGCAGATAATAAAATTACCCAGTGGGAAGACCCCAGGCTGCAGAACCCAGCCATCACGGGCCCAGTAAGTACTGCTGTGGGATCTTCATGAAATGCTCTGCCAGTCCACATCCTAAGTCAGCAGCAGCTGGGAATGTCACACCAAGTTCTGGGCAGTCTCCCAGACTGTCCAGGGTTTGGGGATGGTTCTGGAGTGCTCCTGTTTACCCATTACCTGGGTCACTACTGACAGTAGCATTCACACCGTTCTGTTTATTTTGGAATCTCTAGGCAATGAAAAGCTCTTCACACTTGAGAGGAGACAGGTGGGCCTATGTAGATTCTAAGTGGGAAAAAAAAAGGCAAAAAATGGGTCTGTCAGTTTAAGAGACATAAAGCTTCCCACTGATAAACAGAGGTTTAGGAATATCAGCCTTAGAAAAAAATAAACACAGCATTTCACTTCAGTGTCAAATTTTTAAAATATCAAAGAGTGATTCTTTGACTTTTTCTGCTGGGTTATGCCATTTTATGGTATTCTGAGTGATCAGACTTCCAGTCCCAAAATGTTTTCTGGAGCCAGGAGTACCTTTTCATTCTGCATAAGTCCTTGGGACCTTTAAGAGTTTCAGGATGATGAGCCTGCTGTGCAGTTAAATGCCAATTGCTTAGTAATAATATCAGTAATAGTCACTTTTTGACCATAGTTCCTTTGGGAGGGATTTACTCATTTATCAGGCATTTAAAACTGGAGACCCTCACACACGGCACTGTGCAAATTGCTAACAGGCCTCTCTCCAGAAATGCTGAGCATAAATGAGAGAGACTATTTGAGAAAGTTTGTTTGAAGGAAATTAAATTATCGTGGTCTCCTCGAGCGACTGACAATGGTTTGTTGGTTTTAAGGGAAAGCAGGAGCTAATCAATTTCACAGCAGCACTAAGGATTCATCTGAATGCTTTCAATAATATTTCTGATGCCATGACAAACAGAATTACTTAAATTGCATTTCACGTAGTGTTTAAGTAAAGGAAACACATAGAAATATTTAATGGCTGTAGTAAAGTCATATTATCATCAGTAAATGATCAGAGTAAAGCGATGTCATTTTGTGACAGCCCTCCTGGCTGCTGTCCCTCGTGGGTGGGTTCGGGGAGCCCATAGCACAGCGTGTGGGTGGCAGGGCTGTAACCCCTTTTAAATGCTGTGGGCTGTCAATGACGTGACACTGACACGTCATGGTGTCGTGGCTGAGTGGCAGGAATGACGTGTCCCCCATGCTCCCCACAGGCAGTGCCGTACTCCAGGGAGTTCAAGCAGAAATACGACTATTTCCGCAAGAAGTTAAAGAAACCTGTGAGTAGAACGGGCTCGGGGGCTGCGGGGCACACCTGCCGGGTTACTCCATCGTGCTGCTCATGAAGGGCTCAAGTAGCGACCAAAACACGAAGCACAGTTTGAATTTGATTGGTTTCTCAACAAAAAGCTTTTCTAAGTCTTCAAGACTCGTATTTTTCTAGATAAATGCAAATGCCTTTAAAATAGAGCACAGTCAATCTTTCTCCTTTTTTGTTTGGTTTGTTTGATACTTTTCTTGTAATTTTCATCAAATATTTACCATAGAAGTTTGCAGCACTGTTCTGGAACTGGCCCAGTTTCCCCCATGCTCTCAGCCTGTGGACGGGAGAGCACTGGGAAGTAAAAACACGGGGTACTGGAACACCAGGCTTCTGAGCTGTCACTGAGCTCTTACCAACCTGTAATTTGCCCAAAGACTTATTTCTTGAGACTAACAAGGATAATCTAATCTTCTTTCACACAGGCTGACATACCCAACAGATTTGAGATGAAATTACACAGAAATAACATTTTTGAGGAGTCCTACAGAAGAATCATGTCTGTGAAGAGACCTGATGTACTAAAAGCCAGGCTCTGGATTGAATTTGAGTCAGAAAAAGGACTTGACTACGGAGGTGTGGCCAGAGAATGGTTTTTTCTCTTGTCCAAGGAGATGTTTAACCCTTACTATGGTCTCTTTGAATACTCAGCAACGTAAGTGTCCATTAAATATTTGTATTCTCAAGGGATGTACATTACATTTTGCATAAGAGGCAAAGTTGCTCTGGGCAGAAGTAGCTCCTCCTTGCCCTGGGCAGCCACACTGCCCTGTTCCTGCTGCCCTTCAGAGAGCCTCTGGAATTCTCCTTGAGAACCAGAAAACATTTCCGTTGCTCAGACAATATCCAGGGCAGCAAACCTGCAGTTTTTGAGGCCAGTAATGGTGAAGGGACCAATGTCACAGAAAAGCCCCTTTCCTCTGGTGCCCAGAGTTGCAGCGCTGCTGTAGCGCAAGCTGGGCACGCAGCTGCTCGTTCACACAGCAGGAGCTCCCCAGCAGTGGCCCCCCAGAACTGTAAAATGGGGGCTGCCCAGCTTTACAGTCTTGGAGCAGTCCGTTAGTGCGAGGGGAGAGGGCGGCTCTTGCTCTCAGTGGGTTTGGTTTGCTGCTGGGTCAGCCCTCAGTGGCTCCGCGGTGGGACAGACTGGAAAGGACTCGGACTCAGCCGAAGGGACATGCCCCTAGGCACAAGTTATTTATTAACATAGCTGAGTGTGTGCTTATTTAAAGACTTGGTTCTTTAGCTATTTTTTTTCTTTCCCCAAAAAAGGGACAACTATACACTTCAGATTAATCCTAATTCAGGTCTCTGTAACGAAGACCATCTGTCGTACTTCACGTTCATTGGCCGGGTGGCCGGCCTGGCCGTGTACCACGGGAAGCTGCTGGACGGTGAGTCCTGCCCTTGCTCTGCTGCCACTGGCCTTTGGGCAGGGACAGTCTGGGGCTGGCACTGCTGAGACTCACATGATGATGCACAAAATTACAGTGGCTTACTCAACGAGTGGGTTGCATACAAGGTTTTGCTCCTTTCTCTGCTCAAGTTAAAGCTCTAGAGCCAGCATGAGCACTGTCCCTCGAGGAGAAGCATGGAATTTGTATCGGTCATTTCCGTGCAAACCTGCAGCCAAACTAGGGGTGTCAACTGCAGCATGTTTTGATATGTAAAATTATTGCTGAAGGATTTGATTACAATTTCTGCTGCATTTTGAACTCTCACACTAGGCAGACATTACTGATGAGATTTTCCTGAGCCCTGGTGCAGAAGAGGAAGCAGAGGAATCCTGAGCAGAGGAAGCTCAGCAGCCTGGTTTTCAGGCAACTCCTTGGAGAGAGGAGCAGTGATTTTAAATGGGATAGTGTGTCCTGAGCTCAATTCCCCAGCTCTCTCTGCCATTAATGTTAGGGTGGTCAGTGGAGCATGGTAGTTAGTGGATAATTGTAGAAACTGAAAAATTGGACTTTCTGTGCCTCAGTAAACCTGAGCTGCTATGATGCTGATGCTGTTGCAGTTGCAGGACTGTTACAGTCAGGAGGTAACAGGAAATGCCAGGGGTGGTGCCCTCAAGCAGTCATACCTTTATGGAATGTGCAGGTGCAGAGCAGGGCACGTAATGCTCTCCTCTCTCTTGCAGGCTTCTTCATCAGACCGTTCTACAAGATGATGCTGGGGAAGCCCATAACGCTGAAGGACATGGAATCAGTGGTAAGACCCCACTGAACCCGTGCCAGGGCTCACAGGCCCGTGGGTTTCTACAACCCTGCACTAATTGCCCATTTTCAAACTGCCTAATTGTGATCTGCCCTAGGACAGCGAATACTACAACTCTCTGAAGTGGATCCTGGAAAATGACCCTACAGAGCTGGATCTCATGTTTTGCATAGACGAGGAAAACTTTGGACAGGTATGTAAAGGTTATTTACATCTTAGAACTGGTTATTGCCAACAAGTACCTCAGTACTGAGCAGGGTCTCGTGGTGGGGGATGCACTGGTCAGCCTCCACCTCGCTGTGTTCCCAGCGGGGACAGGGGGTGCCACATCCCTGTCAGGGAGCCACAACAGCTCTGGGACAAGCTGGATGTGCAGCTGAGTAAAACACTTGGAGGAATGAGGGTGTCCCACAGTCCAGCTGGGACGTGGTGCCAGCCCAGGGACTGCCTGGCTTTCTGAGGTTGAAGGTGTCCTCAGAGGGGAGCAGCACAGTGACGCCAGGGACGCCCTTTCTGTCGTGCCTGTCACAGCGGCTGCTGCCACGACGGGGGGAAGCTGCCAGCTTTAAAAGGGTCACAGTCAGTGGGTAACTTTGGCCATTCCAAATGAAAATGTTGTAGACATTAAAATTAATTAATTTGCTTAGAGGCTTTTATGACCTTTTTTAGTGTCATCCCTTTGTTTACTTCTGAGAACTAGGTCCTGGCTCCAGGTACAACTGGACCTGGGGACTATAGGGCCTTTTATAAAAACTTCCTTCAGCAATTCAAACTATGCACTCAATGCCCTGTCAAAAACATTCTGATCCACTTTCCAGTGCGTACTGCCTTTTTCCTGAAGCATAATCCATAAGGTTATGGATTACATGGAGAACTAGGGAGAGTATTGAAGCCACAGAACAGAGAGGTTTTGTAATATACTGGTTGGCTTTGGCAGTTTCAATAGGTGATTTAGCTTCTTTTATTATAAAAACTATTATAATTTTATATACGTAAAGTACATACTTAGTGGTTATACTTTGTATAAATATATCATTTTATTATTATAAATAATAGTTATAATAAAATTATTAGTAAATAGCCAGCATCTGCCAGTTTGCTCTTCTGTCAGCACAAGTTTGTTCAAAAGTGTAAATCAATTTACTAATGATTTCCTGATGCTGCTTGTAAAATGCTGCTCAGGGAGAGCAGATTCTGGAGTGGGTTCCCAGATGTCTTCAAATAACCAGAGGTTTTTTGGTCTTCTGAAATGCAGACATATCAAGTGGACCTGAAGCCCAATGGGTCCGAAATCATGGTAACGAATGAAAACAAGCGGGAATACATTGAGTAAGTATCATTATGGGATGTGCCTGGGGGTAAGAAAGAGCAGTTGTACTTCCAATTGACCCTGCTGCAATTCCTGTCGTTTGTACTGCACAGGAGCATCAGGGATCGCTGGAAAAAAAAAATCTTCCTGTTATCATTGGTTATATCCAGTCAGACATAAGAACAAAGAGTAAATTAAGTTACGTGCTTTGTTCTCCTGACATTCCCCCCCATGGAAACGTGCATCTCCAACATCTGGCTCAAGTTCACATGAGCCAGAAGGTGCTGTCCAGCCTGACCCTCATCCCACTGTCCTCCTCTGCCAGTCACAGACCAGAGCCAGGATTCCAGTGCCAGCATTCCTACCAAAAATTGGCCAAATCTGAAACTAGGTTTTATTTTCAGCTTTCTCAGCTCTTTCACCTACCAGGATGTAAAATGCTAAATTCACTTATATCTGCTGGCATTTTAAATCAGGGCCTTTTCCAAGGTGAAAGACATTAAAATTGATACATTCATGCAAATTGGCAATTCATTTCCAGTGCCTGGACCTGGACCAATTAATTCCATGCCTGGAACTGATTTTTTTATGCCTGCACCTGTGAGGTGTTTGTGCTCTGGGTGACTGGTACTGAAAGCAAGGTGTCCCTTTGATGCTGCAGTTTATTTCTTTATTTATAGGTGAGATGCTGTCCTGACAGCTCTCCTCAGAGCTTGCAGACTTTGTTGGGAATTTTTAATTACTCAGTGCTCTGGAAGAATAAAATGTCTGCTCACGTAGGTACCTACAGGAGCAAAAATATTCCCACTGTGATTTGGTCACAGTCATTGGGGTTTTTGGTTTGTTTCTTCAAAATTCCATCAGTCACCGGCCAATAAATTGGAACAACTGGTGAAAGCTGCTTCGTTACCTGAAGCTGCTGAAGTTATAAATGACAAACTGAAAGCGCCTGGAGTTGCTGAAACCTCTGAGCACTTGGCTAAGACCTGCTAATGAGTTTGTTTTTCTGATGGGGTTTTGTTTCTTTCTGCAGCCTGGTCATCCAGTGGCGGTTTGTCAACAGAGTGCAGAAACAAATGAATGCCTTTCTGGAGGTGAGGCTCTTTAGCTCCTTTCTTTCACAAAAGTAGGGATTTTTTTCTAACACACATTTCTTACCCACTGGTGTCTGTGTAAAGGGAGCAGGGAGCTCGGCAGGGAATGCAAATAGAATACTTATGTTTATGGTTTTTCAGTTTTATCTTTTGTAAGAATATATCATCTTTCCCTTATGAGAATAAAGTCATTCTCTTTCAAGTTTAATTATTTGAGCTTGTAGTAATTTGGTCATTGATGTTTTCAATAAGGATTTATGTGGGATGAGAGTTTTACCTTTGCTCTTTTTCTTTTTAGGGATTCACAGAACTGCTTCCTATTGATCTGATTAAAATTTTTGATGAAAATGAACTGGAGGTGAGTCAATCTGGTGCCCCAAGCTGACAGTTCTCTGACAGATGCTCCATGTTCTGGGCTCTTCAGTCATCCATCCCTCTCCCTAAGGGAATGTGCAGACACAGTGCCTTGCTCAGAGTTGGAAATTAGATGTTTCTTCCTAATGAATAAATCTATCCATGACATGCAAAGAACTGCACTCAGGGAGGTGCTTGGGGGTGTGCCTCTGAGAGCAGCTTAGTGGCTAAGTGCCATCATGCCTCTGCCAGTCACATTTGAGCCAAACACATGGCTGTCACATCATGGCAGTGTGCAGCCATCCTCCAGTAACTGGAATAGTCTGTGGGGAAGCTCTGACTCTGCCCTGGGTGTGCATTAATGACTGAAGGTCAGAGCCCTGAGGGGCAGTGACACCTTGGCACCCCAAGAGTGCAGGGAAGCACACACTCATTCACATCCCACCCTTCTCTTTCCCTGCAGTTACTGATGTGTGGCCTTGGTGATGTCGACGTCAACGACTGGAGACAACACACCATCTACAAAAATGGTTACTGCCCAAATCATCCCGTTATCCAGTGGTTCTGGAAGGTAAGGCTGGCACCACCTCTGACTGCTCCTGGAAGTGAAAGTTATTGCCCTTTTTTGCAATCATTTTTCTTCGAGAAAACTGCTAAGAATGGGGGGGTGTTGTGCTGGGGGGCAGGACCTGCTCCCAGCTCGCTCAGGCGAGGGCAGGTGTAGCTCTTGCTGGAGCAGACAATCCATTGTGTCCTGGGTTGGCTCATACAGAAGGTGACTCATGCTGGCTTTGGGCTGCTCTTAGGGCCCATCCAGGCCAGGGCAGCGTGTCCATGGTGTCCCTTTGCCCACAGGCTGTTCTGCTGATGGATGCTGAGAAGCGGATCCGGCTCCTGCAGTTTGTGACCGGGACGTCACGTGTGCCTATGAACGGATTTGCTGAACTTTACGGTGAGCCGCTCTGAGCCTCTGGCCTGCACGTAGCACTCGGTGCTCAGTGTTATCTCTGAGCTCACTTCTGGGCATTAGGCAGCTCTGAAACCCACTCACTGGGCCTGGAAAGAAAGAACCACGTTCATGTTGCTTTAATGTACCTGTTACAGGTGAAGAATCCAGCCCACAACTGATGCCAACATTTCAAGTTAAAAATAATGCTGAAGCAGTCTCTGTAGCAATTTCTGTTTCATGTGGTTTTCATTTTCATCCAGGTTCAAATGGTCCTCAACTGTTTACAATAGAGCAGTGGGGAAGTCCTGATAAGCTGCCCCGGGCTCACACCTGGTAAGTCACCAAAGCATAAATTCCAGAGCTGCTCCTGCCAGAAGGGCCACGCTGCTGACCATGCTCAGCTCAGCATCCAACAGCTTTTGATCCTGTGGGTCCCCATATTCTTTTATTTCCCACATCCTAGTAAGTGGATGTAATTAACTACAGCAAGTCAGACATTACCAAACAGCCAGAGAAAGCCCTTAAATCATTGGAGAACTCAAAACAAATGTAAGATTATGAGATAATTTAACCCTAGTTTATAGATTTTGCAAACATTAAAGCATCCAGTACAAATTTGTCTTGCTCTGTTACATTTCAGGAATGTGGCTTTTTAAAGAAAAATGGTGCTGAATTGGAAAACTATTTTATAGAGTATCAGTACAGACTTGGAGATCTTTCTGTGAAACTAATAATTCTATAGAATAATGAGCTTTAATTAAAAAAAAAAACAAACTGAAAACAAAAGCACAAAACCTACCAAACACAATCAACAATACTATCCTGAACACACTGCAAAATCAACCCATCCTCTTTGGGTTCCAGTTCTCTGCTAGCTTTTACCTTTGGAAAATTTTCTCTTGGATGTTTAATCTTTTTTCCCTCCAGAGAGCAAGGGATCTGTCCTCTAAATCCAGAATATCTTTGCTGAGCTTTAAGAAATCAGTCCTTTAACAAAGATTGCTTTCCATCATCTAAATACAGTGAAGGGCTTTCTGTTGGCTTTTTTCCTCTCCGAAGTGATTCTTACCAAATTCCTGCTTCCAGCTTTCCAGAGGAAGGCAGCACACAGTTACTGGAGAGCTCACCCTGGGCATGCAGGGAACACTGTGGACCACAGGCCGCATCCTTAATCAAGACCCCTAATTATTTCATCTTTTCTAAGGGTCTGTTTTCCATGGATTACTTGAGTGACTCTTTCCTTGTCCCTTCCAGCTTTAACCGCCTAGACTTACCTCTGTATGAATCTTTCGAGGACCTGCGGGAGAAGCTCCTCATGGCCGTGGAGAACGCCCAAGGGTTTGAAGGGGTGGATTAACTTTGCAGCACCCATTCCCTCTCCAAGCACGTTCTGCTGGCTTTGGCACCTGCCCGAGGGACTCGGAGGGCTTGTGGCATGGCAGCTGCCCGGTGCTGGGCTCTGGAGCAGCCCCGGCAGGGCGGGGGCCGAGCCCCGAGGCTGGGACTGTCACCTGGAGTGGCCTTGCTGATGTTCCCGCACCACTTGCGAACTGATCACATTTCAGCAGGACTTACTCTATTTATGTTGTGCCTCTGTAGGCAAAGCCCTTAATAAATATTTTACACAATTTTTAATGGCAATGAACGGAATTAATCATTTTACAGGTATAGTATTACAACTCATGTTTACTTCTTAATTGATTTAAACATTTTCAGATTTTATTTCATTACAATTAAATATCATATACTTGGAAAAATGAGCATTTTTCTTAATTTCATACCAGACTTTTTTTTTTTTTTTTTTTTCAAAGTACGTTGAGCCTTGTGTTCCTAAACCAGGAGAGCAGGAGAAAGCTGTTGGAAGCTTTCTCTCCACAGGCTGTCTCTCAAAAGCCACTCTCTTCATTAAGCACATCACTGTTGTTCTGTATCCAGAAGTATGGGCTGGATGTTGCATTTTTGTACCAGTGCTAGAAGAGTGTCAAGGCACAGCAGAGCCCTGACACAGCATGTCCAGATCTCTGTTCTAGATCTCTGAAACTGCCTCCTTACTGCCAAGCTGTACATGTGCTACGAAGCATCTGGGCAGGGCTGGCATTTAGCCTTTTAGGAGAACGTGCTGAGCCCTGTCATTCTCTCTGTACAGTGATTTGTTTTCCACCCTTTCTGCATTCCTGTTTGCAATGGAGGCATTCCAAATGAAATCTGGCACTCTGGAACACAGCTCTGTTCTGGCTCCTGTTTGTGTGCACTTACTAATGAACCTAATTAACGCTGGGGTTGTTCATTTCTAACAGCACCGACTCTGAAGGCACTTTCTGTACCACCGGGAAGGCAGACCTGGTTTGAGCATAAAGTTAATGGGTTTTCACTCCTTCCCACTACACGTGTCCTTCTGTGGTGAATTTGGCTGCTGCTGTGGAAGAGAAAACCCCACCAGCTCTAGACCGGAGCCTGCAGACGTGTTCCTCAGTAATTGTTTCTGTGATTTCTTTTTTACTTACAAAGATTTATTTAATATACACTGCTATCTAATCCATTTTGTTACCTGTGACATGTTGCATGCCTAATCTATAATGTCTGAGTTGCATCTGTTTTCTGGCAGATTAAAGGTGACAGATTTGTGCTTGCCCCAGTGCAGTGACATGGTGACAGCACTGCTGGAGCAGGGCTGGTTCCACTGACGTGCAGCTCTGCCCCAGCCTGCTCCCCAGCATCCAAGCAAGATGACACCACTTACCAAAACAAACTTCCACCTCACCGCCCTAGCCTTACCAGTGTGTCCAGCCATACTGCAGAGCCTAGGATACAGGATCACCCAGCTGGGAAGAAGCCTCACTGCTAGTAGCATTCAGCAGTTATGGTCCCAATCCTGAGGAAGATTAGGGCAGTACTTGAATGCAGTTCAAGATTCCTTCTCTATTAAATATGCTTCCTGACATTCCTGCCTGACCTTTTCCATCTGAGGAGCGAGTTGGAACGCAAGACAGTGGCTGGCATCAGAGTAGACAGGAATGCTGGACTGACTGCTTGGCTCTGGGGATAGAAGAGATAAATGCAGGTATTCCCACTGACCCGTACATTGAGCACAGCTAACACGGACCCCCGGAGGGTCCCAGGAGGCAGGGCCCGGGTGACGTCGGGGGCGGGGCAGGAGCCGGGCCCCGGCCCGAGGTGATTTAATCCCGGGAAATCGCCCGTGGCTCAGCTGCTGACAATGAGCGCGGTGAGAGTAGGAGCACCTTGTCCCGGCTCACCAGGTGAGTCCTGGGGGCTTCGGCTTCCCCACCTCTTCCCCTTCTTCTCCCTGTGTTCCTCATCTTTGTCCCCGTTCCCTCTGTCCCCCAAAACCTCCCCGCTTCCCTCCCTCACCCCACCTAGCCCTTCCTTCACCCCGTATTCCCCTTTTTTCTCTCCATTTCCCCCCCTTTCCTCCGCCCTCTAAAAACCACCGCTCCTCTACCACTCCTTTCTTCTCCCCGTCCCTCTGCCTCCCAAAACCTCCCTCCCTGCCCGCCTATTCCTCCTTCCTTCTCCCCGCATTCCATTTCTTTCTGCCCCTTCCTCCCCCGTCCCTCTCCCCCCAGGCTTGGGTAGCCCGAGGCACAAAGTGGGGAGAGGAAGGGGAGCACGA